TATATTTTATTATATATATCTTGTTATACATATATATAAATCGTACTGCAGCTAACAAGAAACACGAGCCTAGTACCGCATTAAAATTAATTAATAAACGTCCTGAAGAATCACAGCCCCCTCGGGGATCGTGAATGTTTACGTATTTTCATTTAAAACCCTGAGGGAAAATCCTCTTCGTTAAAGCTGCTCTTCCTATTCGGTGCTCGCGCGTTGAGACAATTTTATAACACGTAATTATCATGGATTTTCACTCGTTGCTTTAGTGATATGTTACCATCGCCACATGACATTTCCTTCGACACGGTTCACCCGGAAACTGCGACTTCGATTTAATGAAATTAATTTAATAATTATCATTCGTACCTTGGGTATGCTTACGTCTAGCAATTTGCTGATTATTTACACACTCGTACACGAACAGCTGTTTTTGAAAGTGTTCTCAAATTCTGACAGAAGGAACCGAGTGATAAAATCGATTGCTTGAAAACTCGTTTATTGTATATATTCCACATTGTTCATAAAATAATATACACATCTGCGAATGGAGTCCTCGAGCGTCTAAATGTAATACGATCAGATGGTGAGATCGGTCCGTAAATAGCGACACACAAGAAGCGAGAACGTTTAAGCGGAAGTTTGGAAGCGGAAATCGAAACGCTTGCGATCGAAGAGAGAACTGTCAAACATTAGAAAATTCGATCGCTGAAGTCTTCTTTGAGCACTTCTCGGCACTGTTCTTTCATCTTTCCTGTCATATGCGTGTAATAATGTTCTTCTACCTCCCTAATTCGTACGAGACCATTGACAAAAGAGTGTGCAAGGAAAATGATATGTTCACTGGGAACTCGTACAAGTTATTCGCAAGGCTTCTCTCTTAAAGAGTGCAAATGGTCCAGAGGATAAATAGTGTGAACCGCGCGACCAAGTTTTCACGAGCATGCGTCATGTCGCCCGGTGCACCTCTCAGAAACTTTTTCGTCCAACATCTGCGGTGGTAGCTTTTTTTAAACGGCTTTTCACCGAAAACCAGACACCCCCGTAGTTTGGCGAAAAAGTGTCATTTGCATTTTATATTGCGGCCATTCATCCGTTTCGGTGCGCAGAGGCTTGCCGCGTTTTCATAGCCGAATGTTTGAAAAATCCGTCGAATTCTTTCAAGCGAGAACAGTTCCTCCAGTAAATTCTTTAAGAATTCGTTCCCAATTTCCTGCAATGTATGAAAAATACATAACGAAAGGGAAACAAAGGAAAGTAAGTACGTAAAAGGTATCCTTATTTTCTTACGCGAAGGATAATGTAAATTGACAATTATTTCGGTATTTCTTGTTGTTATAAAAATAATGTGAGTGGGAAAGATGATCGATTCTGGTTAACATAATTCTTCTAAAAAATAATCTTCCACTCGTATGCGGACAAACGGTTCCATCGATATTTATGAGGAG